CATCCCGGCTCCTGGCTGGATTTCTAACATTGCCCCATTTCAGATTCAAGCCCAGAAGGGCTTAAGGTGCAACTGGACTGCAATGGGGTTGCAAGTCATGGCCCCAGGACAAGGAGCAGAGCAGAGGCCTAGCAGCAAACAAACAGAGCGCGATGCTCCTGCTCCATCCCAGGGCCTGGCCAAGCCGTGGCAGTGAGTGGGTGCAGGGCTGGAGGGGGGGTGCGGGGGTCTCCCCCTGGGCAGCCTCCCCACTGCCGGTTTTAGGGATCAGGCAGCAAACGGCGCGAGGAACTCGTCCAGCACCGGGCAGAAGTTACAGAAACTGCTTGAATACTGGCCAGGTTTCTCCCATTGCCATCAAGAGTTCTTGGTGGGTCCAGGCAGAGACAAGGGAGCCAGGAATAAAACCACCGAGTGGATCAGCCCAATGAACTGGCTAAATTAGGAGATGCCCTTTGAACCACAGCAAACGCAAGCTGAGGCTTGAGGAACGTGTCCCCTTTACCCCCAGACACTGGCGGCCGGGCAAGCGCAGAACCATTCCCCCCATTTTGTCCCCTTGCACCGCTCTGCAACAACAAGGCTGTGGGGAGAGCGGGATGTGCCCAAAAAGCGGAGCACAGCCCTGGCGAACAGCAAGCCCAGCCCTGTTGCGCTGTCAGCCCTGGTCCCATCTCGCTGCTCTGCGCCCTCCTCGTGTGCTGCTCCACCAAGACAAAGCCATCTTCGTGCACGCCAACGTCACAGTCACCGCATGCATTTTTGGGACCTGGGGAAGCACTACAAGGAGGTGGGGGCTCCTCGGCACCCTCATTACTGGGAGGAGGAGAAGAGGGGGAGACAAGGAAGGTCCACACAAGGTACAGTCCAGAAAAACCTGACTGGTCCCATTGACAGCACGTTCTTCCCAGGCCAAAGCTGGGAAGGTGGAAGGACCTAGTGCTGAAGAGAGGGGCTGAGATTTGAGCAGAACCCACGTGGCTCTGACATCCAACCTCCCGTTGTCCAGCACCACCGTCTCATCCCTGGTGCCCTCCTGCTCTCCTTTCCCCGCTCTCCATGCTGTTTGGGAGCAAACCTCTATAACAAGCCCAGCCAACACAGACTCAAACACAGCAGTGCTACCCAGAGGGTGGGGAAGGTCCCTGAGGGAGCTGCGTTGCCCGGGGCCAGGTCCCGTGTCCTTTCGTAGAGGTGCAGCTTGTCTTTGTTGGAGTGAAGCATCTTCACGTCCTCAAAGGCATAGTAAGCAGCCAGCATGAAGTTGACGTCTCCTGTGGTGAGGAGGTCAAAGACGCAGGACTGGAAGTAGAGGTCCTCCACGGGCAGCTTTTCCCTGCACTTGGCTGTGGCCGTTTCATAGGTGAAGGCCTCAGGGGGGGCCGGCAGGCTGGGCCCCTTTCTCCGAGCGCGGCCCTCTGTGGCCTGAGCCGAGCGGACGGTCTGGAAGTCAATCTGTTGGTTGAGCGGACAACCACGGAGGCACAGGTAGAGGCCCTGACTGTCCCGGTCCTCCACGGCGTTGACCACCTCCTCCGGCATCCGCACGGCGAAGGTGAGGTAGCGGCCCACCTGCCTCACCACGATGGTGGTGCCAATGTACTTCGCCTGGATCTCGATGTGTTGGCCCGACACCTTCTCGGTGATCTTCAGGCTGTTGGCCCCGTGCTTGTCTCCACCGTTCTTGGAGCCGTCGGCAAAGGCAGCAGGGAGCTCGTCCATCTCCGCCTGGTAGACTTTCTGGTCCACGCACTCCTGGAAGCTCTTGAAGATGATGGTGAGCTGTGGGGGAGGAGAGGAAGGAACAGGGTTACAACCAGCAGCCAGGAGCGTGGCCTTCAGCTCACAGGTGTCCCCATACAAGTTGCACCAACTTTTAGGCACCCAGACACAGCCATCCCACAGCACAGGGATGAGGACGCTGTGTATGGAGTCAAGACACAGAGGCTGGCCTGAACTTACTACCTGGATCTGCGCTGTTATCTCCAGGCCCAACAGAGGAGCTCCCCTGTAGCTGGAGCTGGGTATCACTGCTCGCAGGCCTGTGGTGGCATGCCCACGCATGCAGCGCTGTCTTGCCTCCAGGGCCTGGCAGATGGCAGAGGGGGATGAGCCCTGACTCTCTTAGAGGTGGTGGAGCTGCTCCTCTGGCTCCCATGGCATTTACATCCCAAAGGCCGCACCTCTTCCTTTCCCATGCCACTTGCAGACCACTGAGTCTTCTCCATCACATCGTGCTCCATCCCAACCATGCAGACACACACACGGTCAGCGTGGTCGAGTGGGCAGGCCCTCCTACAGGTGATATGGGCATAGACTGAGCCCAACACGGCTCCCCAGCCTTTGCTGGGCTCAAACACAGGTCCCTTGCTGGAGAAAGGACCTCACAGCGCTTGCTATTCCCCTGCTGACCTGGCTTTGGGAGGAAGGCTTGACGAGGAGGAGGAAGATTTGAGTTTGCATCAGAGGAAGAGCAAGTTGCTTCCTCTGTCACTTCCTGCAGACACTGCCACCCCCAAGGCAGCCCTGCCACCCTCAGCCATGTCATGAGGTGCCGTCATGCCCTGGGTTTCAGGCTGCACCACCCCTTACACTACCTCCTCTGGGTCCCGTCCTGCCTCTGGCTGGAGGAAGAGGGGCAGACCAGTGACCACCATGCAAAAACACAAATTGCCCCATGGACCATGGCTTCCACCCTTTCCAGCAGCCCAAGGTCTTCTCACCAGCAATGCTCTCCACAGCTCACGCTGCAGATCTCATGACTGATCCCTCTCACCACAAGCCCGTGAGGCAGATAAGGGTGAAAAGGCTCAATTAAGATGGTGATTGTGGGATCCAGCCTAGAAAGTGCAGGTCCCTGGGGTCCTTAGGGACCACTTCCCTCAGATTTCCTTGCAAGGTCTGAACAAGTTTGACGCCTTTGGGCAGATAAGGAGTTAAGAGCATCATTAAGTATCTTTAAGGATGTTAATTGGAACAAAACCAAAATGCCAGCTCCACCTCAGGTTTAAAAGGTCACATCCAGAGCTGAGAAGCAGTCCCTGTCCTACATGAGCTTCAGTTCTTTCCCTCCCATGCAGGGAGAAGCAGAACTCCCAGACATCTTCCAAAAGCAAGAGGATGTCTCCTACTGAGCCTCCCTTTTTTTTGGCACCAAACACGGCCTGCTGGCTTTAGAGCTTGTGCTCCACAGAGCAACAGGACAGTTCAGCAGCTCCAGGTCCCTCCTGAAGCCGAGGCCATGCCTCAGCTGTATCACAGCAGCACATTTTCACTTGGGTTTCCTCAGTGTTTGCCTTGTACTGTCAGGATGTTTATTTAGGCTGTCAAAGCACCTCCAGAACAGACCGTGTCCCACAAAATGCCTTTCCTTGGCTGCAAACCACAGAGACAATTACCAGCCTGGGCAGAGGGGAAGGCGGTGTGAGGAGCTCAGCTCCCTCCAGGCTTTTCCCTGCAAGGTGGAGCCTCCCTGCAGGCCAGATCTGGGCTTGCCTGGACCTTGGGTGTCCCCCCAAAATGTGCCACCATCATTCCCAGTTTGGCTGTTCACAGCGACCTGGGGTCCCTCAGGTGGGAGCGCTCGAAATTTACAGTTCTTTACTTTGGCCACAATGGCCCTCAGCCTGCTTACCACAATGGGGCTGAGAAACCACAGGGCACTTAAGTAACGGTAGGACAAGGGAAGGATGGGGATATTTAGGGCCAAATGCTCCCATTCAAAGGAGCTCCCACCTGGTCTTACCCTCCCCAAGGAGATGTGCCAATGGTGGAGGTGACAGATGGTGGAAAGGGCTGTTCAGAAGCACCTCTGCCCATGGGGACATGCCCCCCGAGGCTCACCTTGCTGGTGGCGGTGGCCGTGGAGCCAGGCAGCACCGGCGTGTTGGTGACCTGGACATTCAGGTAGTTATTGTCTATGAGCGGCCAAGCCCCTTGCACCTTGCAGGTCTGGAAAGTGTCCGTGAAAGTCCTGAGGTGGGGGTCCCCGAAGAGCCCGCAGTGGGTATAGTTGGGGGCGGCCGAGTGTTTGTGAAAGCTCTTCTCGTAGTGGCAGATTTCGGGGCTGTCGGAGCGCTCCTGGCTGTCCCCAGGGGGCAATGTCCGGAGGCGGGGCTGGGACGTGGGGCCATCCTTGGAGCAGTTGTGTTGCACCATCAGATCGTCTATGCCATGCACGGCGGAGTGGTAGGCCAGGTCGCCCCTGCAGGTGCGGGCGGTGCGGCGGGTGCAGTGCGCGTAGGCGCGCAGGGCCGTGCAGAATTCGGGCGCCTCCTCCGTGCCCAGGTGGTGGGAGCCCGACGTGGCCGCCCAGAACTCAGAGTTGCACTTGAGGATCTTGCATGGAGACGTCACTGCGGGAGGGGAGGAAAGCACAAGGTGGTCAACACTTGCGAGCCTACGCGTGGGACATCCAAGTCTACCCCCACCGAGAGGCTGGTGTCCTCCTCCCACACCCCAAACCCATGACATGGCCTCTACCGCGTGATGGGGCCTCGCTCACCAGACGTGACCCTCTCACATGACC